GGCCATTCTTCATCCCCAACCTTGAAGGCCGTCCTCTGAAACGGCTCCCCCCCCCCACCCTCCCCTCCCGGGTACGGCTATAAATAGCAGTCCTGTTTCCGCTGACCTCACTCTTTCGTTCCCTCGCTCCATTAGGACGTTGGAAGGATCGGATTCTACATCAAGCTAAAACTGAGGGGAAGGTGGTGGTGGGGGGGACTGATATACTGCAAAGTCCTTCGCTGGGTCGGAGGCTCTCTTGCCTCAGCGTGCGCGCTGGCCGTGGAAGTGAGGGAACGCCGGCGTTTTCTTGCCGGATCGAGCTAAGGCTCCCTCCGGCCCAGCGCTCTGCTTCCGAAGTTCGCAAAGCACGGCACAGAGGCGACTGCCTCCTTCTGCGCCCCACATCTGGTATACTGCCTCTGAACATGGAGATTCCAGCTTCCTTCATTTATTCCCCCGGCCTTTCTCCCTGACAGGGGCGCAAAGCAGCTGACGACATTCTCCTCGCCTCCGCTGTTCTCCTCACAACAGCCCTGCGAGGGAGGGTTAAGGCGGAGAGGGCGGGACTGGCCCGAGGTCATCCAGCAGGCTTCTGTGGCAGGGCGGGGACTTGAACCCGGGTCTCCCGGACCCTAGTCTAACCAGTGCACCGCCCCGGCTCTCGATAACCGACTTCCGTAAGCCGCCCTGAGCCGGTTCGCTGGGAGGGCGGGGTATAAATACGAATAATAAAATAAATAAATAGTAGCTGTGCGTTAATAGACCTCCCTGCCGTGAACTGCATCCTTGTTTTGGGGTTAAGAGAGACAAAGACCGAAAGCAAATGTTACGATTCGAATCCAGAGGCGCCTCAGAGATCGACAAGAGTTTCAGGGTGTGAACTTGCAAAGTTCCCGTCATCAGATATCTGACAAAGAGAGAGTAAACTCTCGAAAGCTTATACCGCCCCCCCCAATCTTTTTTGGAGGGTTTTTTTTTGCGTTTGTGTGCGTGTGTTTGTGTGCATGTGTGTGTCTGTGCCTGGAAATCACGGCCACCTCTGGCAACTCCTACTGGGGCATGGAGGGCATTCAGAGAAGCGGCTTTGATAGCCTGCCTCTGCCTCCCGGCCCTGGTATTCTCTGGAGGTCTCCCGTCCAAATACTTGCCAGGGTCGGCCCCATTTAGCTTCCGAGATCGGGCTTCCTCTGGGATCATCCAGGTCAGGCCCACCCCCCAAAACCTGGTCAGTCTCTAAGGCGCCGCTGGCCTGTTTGGTACAGTGGTTAAGTGTGCGGACTCTAATCTGGGAGAACCGGGTTTGATTCCCCACTCCTCCACAGCAGCTGCTGGATGACCTTGGGCAAGCCGTAGCTCTGTCAGAGCTGTTTTCTCAAGGGCAGCCCTCGAGAGGGCTGTCTCAGCCCCACCTACCTCACAGGGTGTCTGCTGTGGGAAGGGGAAGGGAATTGTAAGCTGCTCTGAGACTCCTTCGGGGAGTGAAGGGTGGGGTATAAATCCAACCTCTTCTTCTTCTACTGGATTCGAATCCAGCTCTTCTAGTGCAGAGGAACACAACTGCCCTACAAAACTATTTGTACGTAAACGTGCTCATCGCAGAGGGGTGGGCAGCGTCCTCCTCGCCCATTCGGAAAGCTCCTGGCATTCCACACGGGGTTCCCAAGCCAGGCATAAGGACGTAAGAAAACTGTGGCCGGATTGACCCCAAAGCTCCATCTAGTCCAGAATCTTATCTCTCACAGTGGCCAACCACCGTCTCTGAGGAGAGCCCCCCCTTCCGGACCCTAAACACAATTCTGCTCTAAACGGGGAAGCGGCATGGAACAGCCACCCGACCTTCAATCCAGTGTCCAGCCGGTCCCGGGTGAGAGAAGCCCCCTTGGGGGGCGTTGGGCTGGTCCCCCTCTTTGGAAAGGCGGCAGGCCCCGGAGGGCCAGGCAGTAGCTCTCCTTCCACAGGGGTCCCACGGCTCCCTCTAAGCTGTGGAGTCCTGCGAGCAAAAAATCCTACTTTGTGAGCAACTGGCATTAAAGTCGTGGGCGAGCCATTTGGCTGCTGCATGAATTAGTTTCCTCTGGAGCCCTCCCTTCCTGAGCTAAGGCAAAAATGTGTGAGCCGGAGGCCAAAAAACTGTGAGCTGGCTCATACCGACTCAGCTTAGAGAGAACACTGCACAGGACCCTCCCGTACGGCCAGGGTGGACCCCAGACTGCCTTTCGGGGGGTGCAGGGATTCGCGCTTCCAGCTGTTCTGTTTGGCCGCTCAGCCCCGGAGCCAGCCACAGCGCGGGTCTGGAGGGGGAAGGCGGGCCCCGATTTGCGAGG